GTCTATTCTCGTTATCATTTTTTCAAATCTTTTTTCAAGGTTCTTAGTTTCTTTGCATTGGGTTAGAGCATGTTCTTTTAGCTCACAGAACTTTCTTATTACCCACCTTCTGAAGTCTGATTCTGTCATTTCATCACACTCATTTTCCATCTAGCCTTGTTCTCTTACTGGTGAGGAGTTGTGATTCCTTGTAGGAGGAGAGGTGTTCTGATTTCGGGTGTTTTCATCCTTTTTGTGCTGGTTTCTTCCCATCATGCGGATTTATCCACCTGTCGTCTTTGTAGTTGCTGACTTTCAGATTGGGTCTCTGCGTGGATGTCCAGTTTGTTGATGATGAAGTTATTTCTGTGTCTTAGTGTTCCTTCTAACAGTCTGGCCCCTCTGCTGTAGGATTGCTGAGGTCCACTCCAGGCCCTGCTTTCCTGGGGATCACCTGCAGCAGCTGTAGAGCAGTAAGGATTACTACCAGTTTCTTCTTCTGCTATCTTTGTCCCAGAAGGATGCCCACCAAATGTCAGTCTTATCTCTCCTTTATGAGGTGATTCTTTGGATATATGGGGATCAGGGAGCTGCTTGAGAAGACAGTCTGTCCTTTATAGGACCTCAAGTGCTGAGATGTGAGCTCCGTTGTTTATTCAGAGCTGCTGGGCAGGTACGTTTAAGTGTGCTGCAGCAGAATTCATAAACTCCTTTTTTTCCTCAGGTTCTCTGTCCTGGGAAGTTAGGGCTTTATTTATGAGTTCCCATTGGCTGCTGCCTTTTTTTCAGGGCTGCTCTGCCCAGCAAGCCCACTATCTGCCTGCAGAGGCTTTGCTGAGCTGCTGTGGGCTCCACCCAGCTGCCGTGTGAAGTTCCCTGCAGTCCTGTTTATATGGGTGTAGTTAGAACTACCTCAGCAATGGTGGCCCACCTCTGTAATGGCGGGTTGCCTCGGCAACAGCGGGCTGCCTCAGCAATGGTGGACTACCTCCGTAGTGGGGGAGTACCTCAATAATGGTGGACGCCCCTCCCCCACAGAGCTGGACCATCCCAGGTTCAGCTGTGCTTGCTGTGAAACTCTCAACCCAGAGCATTTCCAATTGCTGTGTTTTGTTTTTGTTTTTGTTTTTTTGTGGTGGTGGGACCAGCCGAGCCTGATCACCTGGCTCCCTGCCTCAGAGCCTTTTTTTTTAGTTGAATGGTTGACTCTCTCCCAGATGTTCTAGTTGCCTGTTGAAAGGGTGTCGGGATCTGTGTGGTTTCCCTTGCGGCGATCCACTGCACTGGCTGAAACAGCGGCACTGAGATTCATGTCTCTTTTTTGCTCAGAGAATCTCCAGGCCTGGCTGCCTGTTTCAGTCCCATTTTTAATCAGATGAATGGGTGACTCTGCCTTCCCAGAGCTCCAATCGCCAGCTTAAAAGGGCACCCAGACCAGCGTATTTTGTACGGAGGACCCCTGCTCTTGGGCACCGGCAAAACAGCTGCATTGGCGACCTGTGGGGCTCCTCCGCCTGGGGATCTCCTGGTCTGTGGGCAATAAAAATCCATCTGGAAATGTGGTATCCACTCACCCTCTGTGCTTTCACTGGGAGCTGCAATCCTGAGCTGCTCCTAATTGGCCATCTTGGATCTTCCTCCGATTTTATTCTTTTTATGGCTGCATCCTGGCACCCCTTCATCTGGCTCCACTCTACTCATTTTTTAAGTCCACTTTCCAGGACCCCTTCTGGGGCCCCAGGCCCCTGCCAGGTCCCCACAGCTCTGTGCTGTTCCCATCAGAGCCTTTGCCAGCCAGTAGGAGTTGCTTCCTCACTGTGTATCCCTCTGAGGCAGGACCGTCTTAGGCATATTGAAATGCCCAAAATTTGGTGTGCCAGTGAATGTTTGTAGAATGAGTGATGATCAGTTCAACTAATCCCATACCATCAAAGTTGTAGGAAATTCCTGGAGGCTAGAGACGTTCATCCTGGTTAGCTGGAAGTTGGCACAGGGCAATGATCTCCAACTTCCAGCTTTAATTTCAAATCTTCTACCACTTTTCCTTCTCTTCTAGCCTCTATAACTTCCAGCCTTCCTGTCATCCTGCTTTTTTCCAGCTTCCTGATTAAATCACCTTGAAGAAGAGGACCTGGCAAACTTGTTTACAGAAGGGACAAAGACTGATCTCAAGGGGTTGATGGTGTCTTCCAGCATGAGGGAGATTATTCTCCTCACTTGACAGATTATTCTTCTACTTTTGGTAGAGAGGAATAAAATAGATGGAATCAGACAATGTCAGTATGAGATGTATCCTTGAGAATTATTTAGTTCTTTCTCTATTTTATTTTATTTATTGAGATGGAGTCTCGCTCTCATCGTCCAGGCTGGAGTACAGTGGTGTGATCTTGGCTCACTGCAACCTCCGCCTCCCGGGTTCAAACGATTCTCCCACCTCAGCCTCATGAGTAGCTGGGATTACAGGCATTCGCCACTCTACCCGGCTACTTTTTGTATTTTTAGTAGAGACGGGGTTTTGCCATGTTGGCCAGGCTGGTCTCAAATTCCTGATGTCAGGTGATCTGCCTGCCTTGGCATCCCAAAGTGCTGGGAAAGCCACCATGCCCAGCCTCCTAATTTTAAATATAAGCATAGACCCTGAGGCTTTCTACAGGTCACCCAGTAACTGAGCCAAAACTAGAATCCAGGCTGTGTTTGGCTTTGTTGGCTTCTGGCATTTGGTATCCTTGCCTCCAAATCCATTGTTAGTCAACTTTACAGACTAGGTCTCCTACTTCTAAAACAAATCCTGTTTTTTACTACCCATTGTCTTTCAACCTTTAATCTAAGTGAGTTTATTGAACATGCCACAATTTTCAGGTGCTATGTCAGGCAGCTAACACAGGATCTATAACACAGTTACACAGTAGTCTTCCAGATCAGGTATTATTATCCCTATGTCAAGATGGGAAAAGTAGTCAGTAACTTCTCTAGCTAACACTCAGTTAGGATTCGAACACAGGTCCCAGGATTTTCCACTCCCCTGGTCCCTCTGCTTTATTGGTCCATGCAATGCTTTTGGCCCTTGGCCAGAGATGGCATTTTCTCTCTGCTCTTCCATGCTCTCACAGTCTTCCTTATACTCCTCTCTCACCACCAAAAAAAAAAAAAAGAAAAAAGAAAAAATCTCCCCATTTCCTGAAGAATGGGAATGATTTTGAATCATATCTGACCTCAAACCCGCAGATGAGTCTAAAATCTCCCCCCTCCTTGCCCGACACCCACCCTAGGAGAGGGAGCTCTAGGCAGCTGCAGCCTCTGGTCTGCCTTTGTTTTCTCTCAGTCTTTTATTAGCTGCCTAATTGGCAGTCCAATTAATCTGCTCATCTGTGAAGGAGGATGGATCACAATGAGCTACTCCATTTCCAGAAGCCATTCTCTGAGGCAGTGTGGCCAGGCCCTGAGTACAGGCTGGCTCCTTGATGAAGGGCCGCCCCGGGAGCTGGGGTCAATTAGTGGACAGATTAAGCAATTATTAGCCCCTAACAAGGGCACCTGGCATCATTACCCTGCCTGTTTACTGGCAAACTGCGGCTTTAATATGAGGACCAACAAATAAATTAGGGCATCTGGTCCACTGCCGCATTAGCCGAGAAGTAAATGATGTCCAACTGGCTTTCGCCTGCCTATGGATTCTCAGCTCTGGCCTAATGAAAAGTCTGAGATGCCCCTCACTGGTCACAGCAGCTCTGGAATGTGCTCTGGAATGAGTTATCATTCCAGGGCTAAGTGGACACTGGGAACAATGTTTGTTCTTAGTTACCCTGCTGCCTTCCTCCTGCCATCTGTCAAAACCTACCTTTCTGACAGGGCTTAGCTCAAAAGCTTCCTTCCTGACGCCTTTCTTGCTCTCTCCAGCAGGAAGGGGGTCCCACTTCTGCACTGTGGGAGGGTTTTGACTTCTCCTATCACTTTTTGGCATTATCATAATTTCATGGAATGCTACAGTGCCATTTTGCCCATTTTTTTTTCAGGTCTCTGATGAAAAAGTAGATAAGTGGGGGAGAAAAGGAGAGGGACAAAGGCTCAGAGTTGTTTTTTTCTCACCTCCTATCCTATGGGTACATGCAAACTGTCACCAGAGGGATATCAAGGAGGAAGTGACAGGATTTGATTCGCACTTTCAGAAGATCCTTCTGGCTGCAGCACTGAGGGCTCATTTCAGAGGTGGTGGCTGTTATCCAGGCCAGCTGTGATGGTAGCCTGGGTTAGAAGACAGGCAGCGGGATGGAGAAGAGGGGAAGATTTGCTCTATTCAAGAAAGAGACTTGGGGACTGCTTGGCAGTAGGAAAAATGTCATGGAGACAAATTTTCTAAATTTGGTGACCAGAAGCCAGGGTGCTTTTAGTGCCAGTGAGACGCTGAGAGGGCAGTCATCCCTGGAGTCCCAGAACAGGATCCTCAAAATGGGGGAAGAAGCTCATTTGGGACACATGACAGAAACTTCCTTCTGTTCATGTGACTTTGGCTAAATGCTTTTCCTCTCTGCTTCCTGGTGTGCCTATCAGCAACATGAGTGGTTAAATCCCTAAGGGCCTTGACCCTGTGATTAGCACAGGAAGGCTTCTGATGTCAATGTTTAACTAAGTGTGCCTATTAGAAGGCATGTCTTAATTATTGTTTAGAGCTAGCCCACCTCTCCCCCATCCCTGTCTGATGAAACCTGGTGGGCTCTCAAAGCACAGCTCAAATGTCATCATTCTTGGAAGCCCTCCTAATTCTCTACAGCAGGAAATGCTCTCTCCCTCCTGCCCATCAGCTTCAATGTTATGTCTTGAACTGTCTCTTGGAAATACAAGCGTATTTGTAAATACCTTTTATACTGGATAACACTTAGTCCCTAGCCACACATCCACAGTGGCCAATAACAACGCATGCCACAATCACCTATTGAACTCTTCTTGTTTTCCAAGCTGAGAAAAATGGGTTTCCTTCTTCTTGAAATGCTTTGTGATTAAACCAGACTCTTCTCTTTCCCTAGGGATCATTAACTTCCTTGTAAGCCAGCACCCAATTGCCCGTGTCCTCCGGGAATACTTGGTCTTCAAGATCGCACCAATGCTCAATCCTGATGGAGTCTACCTGGGCAATTACAGGTAAGGAACTGGGGAGAATGCTTGGGTGGTATGGAAGCAAGAAGAAATAAGGGATATGTTTTGTGAGGAAGAATTTCGAGGCTGCCCATGAGTTCATTAGAGAAAGCTTCACCGTAGCTCTTGAGAAATGTGGTTAATTAGCTCTGGCTGTTTCATCCACACCCACCTAAGGTCACTTGCTGGGGTTTTCTGGCCAGCTCACTGGACCAGGAATCGGGAGACCCAGTATCAGTTTTGGCACCTATTTTCTGTGTAACCTGAAGAACCCACTTTTCCCTCTCTGATGCTCAGTTTCTCTTGCATAATAGAGACAATAATTACTTACCTGAAAGGGAAGTTGTGAGAGCTTTAAAGGAAATGGTGGGAATGAATGTGCTTTGCAGAATGTCGTGTGATGGTTATAACAATGATTGTTTTGTTGTGTTTCTTCTTGGAAAATATCAGTGAAGGAGAATAGAATCCCAGGTCATCTGAACAGCATTTCTCTTCAGAGTGGACATACCAGCCAGCCCCACACCCACTCATGCGCTTGGATCTTGAAGTCTGTTTCTCCTGGCTTAGCCCCATAATTTACAGTTTAAAATTCCACTGCCCAGAAGATTATCTGCCAAAAGAACACCAACTCATTTGAGATAGTGTTATTGCCCTTATTTCACATTAAGGTAACCCACTTGCCCGAAGTCACACAGCCAGTAAATCAATGACTAACTTCTCCAGCCAAATTATACAGTTTTAGAGCTCGTTAGGCCCATGACTTTCAAGATGACATTCAGAACCCATCCCCACACCCACCAGCTTTGCATGCAAGGCGTTGTCTGCCCTGCTGCCTGTCTGTCCATCATTCTGCCTCACCTCTCCTCCTCTCTGCCTAGAACAGCTGCTGCAGCTGCGCTGCACAAAGCCCAGTTCCCCAGACATGTCCTATTGGTTCCTGCTACCTTACCTTCACACAGGCTGCCCACTGCCCAGAAATCCCTTATCCCTTCTTCATCCCATTAACTCTTTGCAACTCAGTTCATGTTCCTTATTCTGGAAAATATTCCCTTAAACAGAATTGCCCACTCTCTCTTTTTTTTTTTTTTTTTAAGTCTTTGTATCTCAACTTATATTTATTTTTTTCTCATCTTTCGTTTGTTATCCACAATAAGTATAGCTTTATTAATTTGTTTATGTAGATGACATGCTTATTGGAAAATTTTAAACAATATGTAAATGTATAAGGTGGAAACTTAAAAATCACCTCAAGTCTCATTGGATATTAACCATCAATAACATGTTGTCTGTTCTTTCATGCAACTTTTGATGCATGTCCATGTAAATAATTTATACTGATTTCTTTTTTTAAGAGAAAAAAAGAAAAAGAAAAACGGGGAGAGAGAACAGGAATCTTACTCTACTGCCCAGGCTGGAATGCAGTCTAAAAATAGATATTAAAAACCTCTTTTATGCTGACAATTGTACTTATCAGTGGAGACAGGAAGGAATAAGGGAAGAAAAAACAAACAGCCAACCAATATTTCATTTAAGTCTGTGAAATGCTATGCAAATGCTGAAGAGTGATTTACTTCCAATTATGTGGTCACTTTCAAAATAGGTATAATGTGATACTGAGAAAAATGTATGTTCTGTGGACCTGGGGTGAATAATTCTTTTTTATTTTTATTTATTTACTATTATTGCACTTTAGGTTTTGGGGTACATGTGAAGAACATGCAAGATAGTTGCATAGGTACATACATGGCAGTGTGATTTGCTGCCTTTCTCCCCTTCACCTATATCTGGCATTTCTCCCCATGCTATCTATCCCCAACTCCTCACCCCCTGCTGTCCCTCCCCTATTCCCCCAACAGACCACAGTGTGTAGTGATCCCCTCCCTGTGTCCATGTGTTCTCATTGTTCATCACCCACCTATGAGTGAGAACATGCAGTGTTTGATTTTCTGTTCTTGTGACAGTTTGCTGAGAATGGTGTTCTCCAGGTTCATCCATGTCCCTACAAAGGACACGAACTCATCATTTTTGATGGCTGCATAATATTCCATGGTGTATATGTGCCACATTTTCCCTATCCAGTCTATCATTGATGGGCATTTGGGTTGATTCCAGGTCTTTGCTATTGTAAACAGTGCTGCAATGAACATTTGTGTGCATGTGTCCTTATAGTAGAATGATTTATAGTCCTTTGGATATATACTCAGTAATGGGATTGCTGGGTCAAATGGAATTTCTATTTCTAGGTCCTTGAGGAATCACCACACTGTCTTCCACAATGGTTGAACTAATTTACACTCCCACCAGCAGTGTAAAAGTGTTTCTATTTCTCCACATCCTCTCCAACATCTGCTGTCTCCAGATTTTTTAATGATCGCCATTCTAACTGGCATGAGATGGTATCTCAATGTAGTTTTGATTTGCATTTCTCTGATGACCAGTGATGATGAGCTTATTTTCATATTTTTGTTGGCCTCATGTATGTCTTCTTTTGTAAAGTGTCTGTTCATATCCTTTGCCCATTTTTGAATGGGCTTGTTTGTTTTTTTCTTGTAAATCTGTTTTATTTCTTTGTAAATTCTGGATATTAGCCTTTGTCAGATGGGTAAACTGCAAAAATTTTTTCCCATTCTGTTGGTTGCCAATTCACTCTAATTAATGTTTCTTTTGCTGTGCAGAAGCTGTGGAGTTTGATTAGGTCCCATTTGTCTATTTTGGCTTTTGTGGCCAATGCTTTTGGTGTTTTGGTCATGAAGTCCTTGCCTACTCCTATGTCCTGAATGGTTTTGCCTAGATTTTCTTCTAGGATTTTTATGGTGTTAGGTTATATGTTTAAGTCTTTAATCCATCTAGAGTTAATTTTAATGTAAGGTGTCAGGAATGGGGTCCAGTTTCTGCTTTCGGCACATAACTAGCCAGTTTTCCCAACACCATTTATTAAACAGGGAATCCTTTCCCCATTGCTTGTTTTTGTCAGGTTTATCAAAGATTGTATGGTTGTAGATATGTTGTGTTGCCTCCGATGCCTCTGTTCTGGTCCATTAATCTATATCTCTGTTTTGGTACCAGTACCATGCTGTTTTGATTACTGTAGCCTTGTACTATAGTTTGAAGTCCAGTAGTGTGATGCCTCCCACTGTGTTCTTTTTACTTAGAATTGACTTGGCTATGTGGGCTCTCTTTTGGTTCCATATGAGGTTTAAGGTGGTTTTTTCCAGTTCTGCAAAGAAGGTTGCTGGTAGCTTCATGGGGATAGTGTTTAATCTGTAAATTACAATATTGATTCTTCCTAACCATGAACATGGAATGTTTCTCCATCTGTTTATGTCCTCTCTTATTTCATTGAGCAGTGGTTTGTAGTTCTCCTTGAAGATGTCCTTTATGTTCCTTGTTAGTTGTATTCGTAGGTATCCTATTCTCTTTGTAGAAATTGTCAATGGCAGTTCATTCTTGATTTGGCTCTCTTTAACTCTGTTATTGGTGTATAGGAACGCTTGTGATTTTTGCACATTGATTTTGTATACTGAGACTTTGCTGAAGTTGAATCTCAGTTTCAGGAGATTTGGGGCTGAGATGATGGGGTCTTCTAGATATACTATCATGTCATCTGCAGATAGAGACAATTTGGCTTCCTCCTTTCCTATTTGAATACCCTTTATTTCTTTTTCTTGCCCAATTGCTCTGGCTAGAACTTCCAGTACTATATTGAATAGGAGTGGTGAGAGAGGGCATCCTTTTCTAGTGCCAGATTTCAAAGGGAATGCTTCCAGCTTTTGCCCATTCAGTATGATATTGGCTGTTGGTTTGTCATAAATAGCTTATATTATTTTGAGATATATTACATCATTACCTAGTTTATTGAGGGTTTTTAGCATAAAGCGCTGATGAATTTTGTGAAAGGCCTTCTCTGCATCAATTGAGGTAATCATGTGGTTTTAGTTTTTGGTTCTGTTTATGTGGTGAATTACATTTATAGACTTGCAGATGTTGAACCAGCCTTGCATCCCTGGGATGAATCCTACTTGATTACGATGGATAAGCTTTTTGATGTGCTGTTGTGATTGGTTTGCCAGTATTTTATTGAAGATTTTTGCGTCTATGTTCATCATGGATATTGGCCTGAAGTTTTCTTTTCTTGTTGAGTCTCTGCTGGGTTTTGGTATCAGGATGATGTTGGTCTCATAAAATGATTTGGGAAGGATTCTTTCTTTTTGGATTATTTGGAATAGTTTCAGAAGGAATGGTACCAGCTCCTCTTTATGTCTGGTAGAATTCGGCTGTGAACCCATCTGAACCTGGGCTTTTTTTGTGTGGTAGGCTCTTAATTGCTGCCTCAACTTCAGATCCTGTTATTGGTCAATTCATGGTTTTGACTTCTTCCTGGTTTAGGCTTGGGAGGAAACAAGTGTCCAGGAATTTATCCATTTCTTCCAGGTTTACTAGTTTATGTGTATAGAGTTGATTGTAATATTCTCTGATGATGGTTTGAATTTCTGTGGGATCTGTGGTGATTTCCCCTTTGTCATTTTTTATTGCATCTATTTGGTTATTCTCTGTTTTCTATTTTATTAATCTGGCTAGTGGTCTGTCTATTTTGTTGATCTTTTCAAAAAACCAGCTCCTGGATTTATTGATTTTTTGAAGGGTTTTTTGTGTCTCTATCTCCTTCAGTTCTGCTCTGATATTAGTTATTTCTTGTCTTCTGCTAGGTTTTGAGTTGTTTTGAACTTGCTCTTCTAGCTCTTTCAATTTTGACAATAGGGTGTCAAGTTTGGATCTCTCCTTTCTTCTCATGTGGGCATTTATTGCTATATATTTTCCTCTAGAGACTGCTTTCAATGTGTTCCAGAGATTCTGGTATGTTATGTCTTCATTCTTGTTGGTTTCAAAGAACTTCTTTATTTCTGCCTTCATTTCATTGTTTATCCAGTCAACAATCAAGAGCCAGTTGTTCAGTTTCCAGGTAGCTGTGCAGTTCTGAGTTAGTTTCCAAATTCTGAGTTCTAATT